CCAATCAAATGTTGTGACACAGAGATGCACACATACATGTGCATGTGCAAACGAACACACTTACAGTCTGCCTCCCCCCTCCCCCCTTCACTCTCTTTCTGTCTTTTTATCTCTCTCTATGTCTAACACAACTTTAATTAAAGAAGCCCAGTTATTTAGGATTACTCCCAAAGTTGCTTCAGTATATTTACAAGAAATAATTATCAAAGTGCAGCATATACAAGTTGATGATCTGACCAGCAACATTCCACAACACTTGAAATAGGATCTGGTACATTGGTAAAGATAAGGTCAAGTTTGGATCCATAATCTGTTGTAACACTAGTTACCACTTGTTTGCAGTTCAAGTTGCGTTCCATCCACTTAAGAAATTGATCATTTGACTGAGTATCAATATTAAAATCACCAAGGATCACAAAATAACTATCAAATTTTAGGGCAGATTTTATGTGCTTTTCGATTTCTGATTTCAGTTTGGAAATAATATTTTGATGACTTGTAAACAACAGCTATCTGAATTGGTGTTTCATGTTTCTTAACACTTGTCACCATGCACTCAAAATCAAAAGAACTATAGGACATAATGTTGGATACATCAATATTATTTCCAAAATACATTGCTAAGCCATGATGGGGAGTTTGTGTGTTTTTTTGGTCATTGCTTTCAATATGAAATCCTTGCAGTTTCAAGGTGTCATCTTTATCAAAGTGTTTAAGTTTTGTTTCTGCAAAAGCTAATACATCATTTCTTATTAGATTGAAATCAGTTCGGATGTCTTTGTGATGCAATGGCAGTGACCTTACATTAAGGAATCCAATTTTCAATTTACGAGATGAAAGTTTGTATGGTGGTAGGTAACACAATTGTAAGTCTGCTTCTGAATGCATTCTTAGCATTTCTTCTTTCACAGTATGATCTACAGACATCTTTGCTTCATTGAGATTCAACAAATACAAGTCAGACAGATTCCTTACTCGACTTAGTGCTACATAGTGCATGTGTGGTTGTTTTCGTGTAGTGGTCATATCCACAACAACTTTTGTTAAAGTGCATCCTTGAGACTTGTGTATGGTTTTTGCTGCTGCTGGTCGTAGCGGAAATTGTATTCTGAGGAAAGATTTTTTGTTGTACAAAAAATTACGTTGTGTGTCAAATATGGGAGTCCATGAAAGCTGTACATCATTAGCACGCAAGTGTTTCCTTGTTTTTATCCCAGTAGATTGATCGTCAAGCTGTACCCATATAATACTTGGCCTGTCAGTGTTTGCTTGTCTATAGTCTATTTTTCGTACATAGCAACATCCACCATTCACAAGTCCATCTGTTATATTCAAATTGGCAGTAATTTCATATGCCATGGAAATTGCAATTGGGAGATGATTCATTAATCCAGCAGTAATACTGACATTATTTGGAAGTGCACGAACAAGTTTGTCTTTGACAGTATTTGGTATGTCACCAATGAATGTGTCTAGTGCTGGCACTTTGACTTTTGTACTTGAAGATTCATCAAAAATGTCATTGTTGAAAGCATCAACTTGTTTATTTGTTGTGAACAGATGTGGTGCTTCCTTTGGATAATTTGCATCAGTAGGTTTGATAATTCTTCATTTAAGAGAGGCAAGATCAGCAGCAGACAAGTTGTCACTTTCTAATGATCGCATTCTGTTAAGAAGCTCAGCAAATTCTTTGTCATCCTTTTGACGCATGATTTCAGTCAATTCGTGCACAGTAAATAATGATTTCCAAATGTTTGTAGCAAGTGGTCCCATTTGTTCGTCTAAATCTGCAAAAATCCACTTGTCCATAACAGGCTTCAGTTGATAAAGGTCTCCAATAAGTATGACACTGGTTCCGCCAAACAATTGTCTTTGGTTTCCTTTAATTGTTTGAAGACACTCATTGATTAGTGAAAGCATCGTTTCCAACCATAGAAACTTCATTTATGATTACAACAGACAGGTCTCTGTATTTCACTGTTAGTGTATTTAGTGTGTCAGAATCTACATGGTAATTTTTGTAACCACGATTAGGTAGAATCTTGAAAGCAGCATGAATAGTAGTGCCGTTAATGTTATGAGCAGCTTTTCCAGTTGGCGCACAGAGGAGTACTTTACAGTTGTCAGGATTGTCACCTTCTTCAGAACAAAGATGTCTTTTTAATGCTTGATATAATGCTTTGATAACAACAGACTTTCCTACACCAGCATACAATGGTTCATCTTTGGTTTTAACCCAGTGTAAAACGTGCAAGAAGAATTCTTTCTGCTTCATGTTCAGATATCGTACAAGTTCAAGATATTCTATATTTGGTAAGAGAGTAGATGTATGTTCAAGAAGTGGAGTTGGGTGTGAAAGACCGAGGTCTTGGCCAATATCATATTGTTCATGTGCTGCATTTTCTGGTTTGTAGTATATAAATTGTTGGCTTTCGCTTGAACCTTCCCGCTCATCTTCCTGTTCATTATGTTGTATTAATGGTGCAATTTGGTCAAATTGATCACTCAAGTCATCTTGAGCTCTTTGAATAGCAATGTCAAGTTCTTCTGTGTGATGTTCATATTCTGCAAGTTTAATGTCAACAACGCCACATACATGATGATAATGATCTTCATATGATTGATATCCTCCAAGTAAATCAAGTTCTTCATTGCGCCATGGCAAGAATAACGAAAGTTTTTCTCTGTAATAATTTTCACTGTCACTTTTGACATTGTATCGAACATAGCGTATTATCTTTCTGTTTTTTTCTCTTCTTAAATATCACACCGTTAGGTAATACAAGTTTTGTCCAGTTTTCAGATAAGTCTGGATTTTCTTCATTTTCAGAATCTAATGTCACTACCTAATCATCATTAATATTATCAGTTGACTTTTTCTGCTTTGGATTTGTGATATCTAATTCAGAGACATAGTCTGCCAGACACATTGTTTGAAGTTGTTTAGGGCGTTTGGCATACCTTTTTATTACATTGTCACTCTCAATATCTGTTGAGTGGTGGAAGTGCCTCTAGCGCATCTTTTTGTTTGAGGAGAAAAGTTATCTCATTTGACTCCGATGTATTGATGAACACAACATCTCTTGATGATTTTGTGAGCGGAAGTTGCAGTGTAAGATATGCTGCTTCTTGTGCACTTATTTCAACACTGTTCAAGAACTTGTTTCCCATATGGCGTACTTGTCGCTTAATATCCATGTTGCCTTTACGTGCTTCTTTACAAGCTACATCAAGTAACATACTTATTCCTCTTTGGGACTTGCTGATATAAGCTACAATATATACAGCGCATGCATATGGATCAAGTACAAATTGAAGATCATGATTTGCATCCCACGCATCTAACAAAGATGTCATGTATGGATTAATGCGTACTTCACTTGGTTTTCTTTTCAGAAATACTTTTGGTGATTTAAGTGATGATCTAACACACAAGATATATTCTTCTTCTGACATTTGTGCTACATCTTTGAGGAAGTCTTCAAAATTTGAATGCTCTGCACATGCTGTCATGTCACATTTTTTTTTTTTTGAATTTCCGAGTATTTCTTTTTCAATGCTTCATGTTCTTCATTTAAAGGTTCTAAAACCATTGTTCTAGACATTGGTGGTAGTGGAAACCCAAATCGACGTACAGATTTCCCTTTCTTTCGGCAAGATTTTGAATGTTTGTGCGTTTGTATGTCAACAAGAGATATGAGATGATGGGGTACATCTGTGTTGCAAGATGTATACTTTTCAACATATTCAGCTATAGTTTCTTTTGATTGAACATTATATTGAGGTGCATCTTTTATCCACATCAGCATGTGTATGTGAGGTGAGCCCCTATGTTGGAATTCAACTCAAAATTCCAATGGGAGCATGATCAGATTTCAGAACAGTGTTAATAAACTGCTGAACTCTGTTATCAAAATACCTTGTACACGTTACTGGGTCCTTTTGTACTAAGCGAGTTTTGTCATTCCAGGTCATGTTACTAATTTGATTATCAGTGTATGAGACGGTTTCATTGAGTTTCCCAAGAATTCTTAACAAATCCTTCCACCTTGTGTCACCAGCAGACAGAGAACAAAACCAAGTTGGAAGTCCAAGTTGTCGAATCATAGCAAATACATCTTTTTTACGCTTTTCTAAATTTGGTGGAGAATTTCTTAGAGATCTGAATATGTAGAATCCTTCATCAAGATTGACCAACTTGTTCACCTGTGTTGGATTCAGAACATCTGCAGCAGTAAGTTTTTTATTCTTGCCTTTACACCTTCTTATAGCCAAATTTACTTGATCAGATATCTGTTTCATCTGAATTTTTTTCAGCTTGAAGAATAAGTTGGGTACACAATATGCAGCTCTTCTGTCAACATTCCGGAGTTCCCATTTTGTAATGTCACTATAATAGACCTTCACATCTCTTTCAGAGTTGTCAACTCTACGCGTACCACAAAATATGGAAGGAAAAGATAACTCCTCAGCATCTTTGTCAGAATATAAACTCAAAGGTTGTTGACCTTCCCCAGGTGCAAATGTGTATGTGGAATCACTTTGGGGACATATTGGTTCTATTAATGTGTCAGCATTTCCAGTAACTCTATCTTCATCAGCTATTTCACTGAATGTGTCAGAGTCATTTCCTTCATCATCTGAATGTTGGCATTCTTTTACTGGAGAATCTTTCATGAACGTTTTTATGATTTCTTCGGCATTCGTGTTCATTTTCGAATACCAATCTTCATCTATTTGAACACCAGAATCTCTGTACATGTCACTGTTTTTGAACAACCAGTGTAAAGCTGTGAGAACATGCTGTGGGCGTATATTTTCTGTAAATTCACACTTTTTGTAAGACATTTTTCTTTTTATTCGAACTGGTATTGTGGTTTCTTCAAATTGACGAGGTAATGCTTTGATTGTTGGTTGCATGTCTACTGGAACATTGACAACATTGCCATGTATACTCAATTGACCACATCTGGGTAGTTCTCGCATAAAAGGAATTCGCAATGCTACTAACCTTTCTTCAAGCTGATGTAAATCTAATTCTGGGGGTTTAATAGGGAAAGACATGTTATTGGCAATTGATAATGTTGGCAATTTATTTTTCATGATAGAGGACAAGCATGTTCTACACAACCATTGTTTATCATTGTGGGATATGTATCCTGTTTTACATCTTAAATAAAGGGAAGAGTGATTGATTAAGGATCAAGCAAGTGGTTATTGTCCTCTTGATTGGTTATAATTTTTTATTTTATTTAATACGGTTTTAATATCATTCTGAAATGTCTTAAGCTTTTGAGATCAATTTAAATACTGTTCTTTAGGTGGATGTCGCCGAGGTCACCACCACCGAAGCCAATGGGACCACTGACCCCACCAAGGCCACCGGGACCATTGGGACCACCAAGGCCACCAGGACCACTGGGACCAACGTCACCGAGGCCACCGGGACCAATGCCACCGACAGCACTGAGGCCACCGGGACCACCAACCTAACCAATGCCACAGGGACCAACAACTCCACCAATGCCGCCGAGGCCACGGAACCACCAACCCCACCGAGACCACGGGAACCACCAACACCACCCATGCCACCGAGGCCACGGGAACCACCAACCTCACCACTGAGGCGACGGAACCACCAACCCCACCAATGCCACGGGAACCACCAACCCCACCACCGAGGCCACCAAGACCACCAAGACCACCACCACCAACCCCATTGCGGTGGCACTGATAACTATGGCAGTGGTACTACCATTGTTGTTGGGTACTTACGATTTCTTAAAATCTCATAAATTTTCATAAAGCAATATGATTATCTTCATATTCTCATCAAGTATAACTGCATTAAAATTAACCATCATTAGCAACTTTGTAAATGTTTGGAGTAAAATACAAATTATACGTTTAGTTGAATTTCCCTTTGTGAGAAAGATGTATCCATTTCCAATTGCAGCAATTTCATTCATTCTGGTGAGGAGGTGGAGGCGACCCCAAGAGAGATAGCAGGTGATGGATGATCTCGGTGTCTGTATGTATTAACATTTGACAAACATATCGCAGCCTCCGTAAAAACACACACATACACTAAACGCATGTATCTTGCACACATGGGAGGCCGTCCTTAAATGACCTTATCTGTTAATAGGACGTTAAACAAAATCAAACAAACAAACTACGCACTATCAATCTTAAAAGTAGGGACAGTTTACATCTCTACTGCAGTGGATAAACATCAGCCTTTTGCATGGTAAACCCAACCGATATAGACAAAAAGCTATTTCAATACATCATCCTGCCGTACATAGTGGACGGACTATGCGACGACTTTTACGGACTACATTCATATAGAACACCGCCCATTGGCTGCCTATATTTATCCATTCTTTCTCCGACGCCATTTCGCACTCCAGGAATCCCTCACTACTCAGTCAGCTACTGTAGACTTACACAGGTTATTATTAGAAGGCCAAATCAGTCCTTACAGTGAAAAAGCCCGTCAAATTATTAGCCAACAATTTCTAGTTTATTTATTTATTTATTTTTTCGGGAATTGTATAACTGGGTATTTTAGTCAATGCCTCGTGCTTGGAATCAGAAACAACTTCAGCCAGCGTAACAGTTCTGGTAGAAGTGACCCAACCCGAGGAACCGGAAGACAACGCTCCCGCTATAACTATATCAGTCTCCAGACAAACACATGACTGTACTATATAGTTGTTACGGCAGTAGCGGATCAACAAAAGCTCATTACACTGAATATATTGTTCCTAGAAAGAAATAATTTGTTTGCACCTTTAGATTTCGAGCTGGAAAAAAACCCAGAACTTATACTGATAGTGGAACTAATGATGCCCCGATTTAGACATAATAATGGAATAGAGCCCACGAAAACAACTCCTTTTCTGACAATTTTTTGGCCGACACAGTATGGCTTCAGGAGCGAGCCCAAAACGACCACATGTATGTGAACGAATGAAAGACATTTTCAAAGATCTGCAAAATGTGACACGAACATATCGCAGCCTCCCAAAATACACACACATACACTACACGCATGTATCTTGCACACAGGGGAGGCCGTCCTTAAATGACCTTAGCTGTTAATAGGACGTTAAACAAAATTAAAATAACAAAAAAACAAACAACAGCAAAATGTGATAAGACTAATCGGACCACTGTGACTCAGAAGATGATTTTTAAGAATCGTTTGGTAACCACGTGCCCGAGCTTATTGAAAAAAAGTTCACAATCTGAGGATCAAAACGCTAGAACAAGAACTCTGACGTGCAATTCAAGATGAAACCACTGCTCTTCAGATGTTACAGGACGTGCCGATCCCAGCTACGGGTCCCAGACCCAATATGGATACGGGTCCATCACTACCTCCGCCAAGGACGCCGTCAGCAGTAACATAGCCTGAAACCTTTAGTGAAGGCGAGCCAAAATATGACATTTTTAAACTTTTAATCAATCTGCGGACCGAAAACAAGAGGCCCAATGGGCCTGCATCGCTCACCTGGTATTTAATCTCACAATTGTAACCTTAAAAGAGGACTAAAATAAAGCTACAGGCAAAATATCAGCGTCTTGACTTAAAGTTTAAAGTAATTCAGAAAAAATGGGCGAAGGTCATTCATTTGAACAAACTTGGTAGCCCTTTATCCCAGCATGTTACTGGCCAAATATCATCACCCTAGGCCTCTCGGTTATTCAGAAGAAGTCGTTCAAAGGTTTTAAACATATTTGACCCCAGTGACCTTGAATATGGGTGACGGTCATTCAGTTGAACAAACTTTGTAGCCCTTCATCTCAGCATGCCACTGGCCAAATATCCTCACCGTGGGCATTTTGGTTATTGAGAAGAAGTTGTTTAAAGTTTTTAACATATTTGACCCCTGTGACCTTGAATATGGGTGAAGGTCATTCATTTCAACAAACTTTGTATCCCTTCATCTCAGCATGCTACTGGTTAAATATCTCCCTGGGCAGTTTGGTTATAGAGAAGATGTTGAAAGTTTTTCACATATTTGACCCCTGTGACCTTGAATAAGGTTGAAGGTTATTACTTTCAACAAACTTGGTATCCCTTTATCCCAGCATGTTACTGGCAAAATATCATTATCCTATACCTCTTGGGTATTAAGTAGAAGTTGTTTAAAGATTTTAAATATATTTGACCCCTGTGACCTTGAAAAAGGGTCAAGGTCATTTATTTGAACAAACTTGGTAGCCCTTCATCCATGCATACTACAGGCCCGATACCAGTAATCTAGGCTTTTTTGTTACTGAAAAGTCGTTTGATGATTTTAACACATTTTACCGCTGTGATCTTGAAAGTGGGTCAAGGTCATTCATTCGAACAAACTTGGTAGCCCTTCATCCCAGCATGCTACAGGCCCAATATCAGTACCCTGTGCCTTTTGGTCATTGAGAAGTTGTTTAAATATTTTAAACATATTTGACCCCTGTGACCTGTGATATAAGTCAGGTCATTCATTTGAACAAACTTGGTTCCTCTATTACAGCATGCTTCTGATCAAAAAGCATCCTCATAGGCCTCTTGGTTTTTGAGAAGTTGTTTAAAGGTTTTAAACATATTTGACCCCTGTGACCTTGACATGATAAGACAAGTAAGAAATATATAAGGAAAAATTGGTTATTGCTATTCAATATGCATATATTTTGCATATACAATGGCTGCTTGTGAGCATGTTGAATTTGAAAATGTCAAAACTAATAATAAAATTTTGTTAATGGGAAAGCGCTACAGTGGTAAATATTTAAAAGAAATATGTAATTTCCTTTTGCTTTTAATAGTGTTTATGAAATCATGAGATTGATTGAAAGATCAAGCTAACTCGCAGAAAATCAGTTAACTACTGTTTCAATAGGTAAAGGAGGTGAGGTCAGATATGACTAATATGAGAGAAATATTAAAAGATGTGGAATATTTTAGCGGGTCAACCTTCACCATGTATCCAATCCTAACACAACGACATCTTAAATGTTGTATTGTGTTAAGATTTAAATAATATTAGGCAAATGTAACATCTAAATATTGACTGGCATGGCATGTTCATCGCAAATATCATTTTGTTAAGACGTACAAATAACTTGTGGAGATCATGATTCGCACTTATGTTCTTCTCATTGTCCTAACTGTCTGTACGACCGTAATCCTAATGTGTTTTAGCTGTTTTATTGGTAAAATTGTAACGATTTCAGTTTTCTGGTTGATAGATTTTTTCTTCACTTCAGTAGTTAATGATATGCAGTATTTATCTTAAATATTTCATCAATCTTACAGGAAATTCCGACATCCCTAGAGCCACAAGCCAGTGAGGAGGAATCAACACCAGTAGCGATCCAAATAATTCCGCGATTCGGAACCTGTTGTGAGGAAGAGGAAGAAGTTTAGGCTCGACTGGCACAAGAACAGGAAGTGGATATATTTTATTGAAGAAATGGGTGTGTCGAACGATTTTAGCCGTTCTACAAATTCCAAGAAGACAATTTTTGAAAATGGGGAGTCGAGAAAGGTCTATGGCCCGACGAAACAATGTGGATGACGTGGGTTTACACAAAAGTCGACAACTTAGCCAGTAAACGTAATGGAATTGACTAACCAATCACCTGTACACTTAATTTAACCATTAAAGTGGTGTTAGTGTTAGGTTTACCGAGTGTAATACATAATTTAACCCTTAAAGTGGTGTAAGGTTTACCGAGTGTAAACATGAACTGAATTATTTATCATCTTACAATTTTTCTTTCTTCCTATTTCCTAAGTTTATTTTGAGTGTTTAGCAATTTTTAGAGTAAAAGTGGTCAGGTTATAATTTGAACTTTGTAAACTTAAGGTAAGGTTTAATGATTTTAATCCTTAAAATAGTTGAGGTCAGAGTTAAACTGTCAAAGATTAGTTTTTCTTATTAACCCATCCTTTTCAAGTGATTGTATGTCCAAGTAGACAACTTATCCAGCAAGGCAAACGAAAGTATTTTGAACAGGAGATCCCAGAGGGATATTGACGCCCACCTTTGTACCATCTTCATTAGTTCTTTGTCAGTTCGATCTTTTCTCTTCTTTCCTCTAATCTGTTCGATCGAGTCATGTTAACAGTAAATGCACCTTGAGGTAACTTTTGATCTAAACCTAATGCTGATGTGTATGAAAGCCAACCTTCAAAGTGAGTTTGTCATTTCACATATTTACTAGTACAGTACTTAACGTGAAAGAAATATAATCGATCATTGCAATATGAAAAAGATCTGTTTAGTTCTTTTAATCCATTTTGTTTTTATGATCAGTCTCAAAATATAACATACACAACGAGGAATCAAGGGGAACCTACATTTAAAATTTGAGAAAGATCCCTCTAGTACTTCTTGAGAAATAGCGATCACAAACTTTCACTATCAAAATCCAAGATGGCTGCCTGTCGGCCATGTTGTTTATCCGATCATTTTGTTTGTTTGTTTATGTTTAACGGCCCATCGACGGCTGTGGTCATTTAGGGCCATGGTGATTTATTTATTTTACTTTTTTAACAAACATGTGAATAGCGAAGATAAAATCAGATAAAATGGTTCATTTTAAAAGTATTCGCATTGTATGTGTAGATAATAAAAATAATAAAAGGGAGTTAAAATAATAAAAGAGATAACATAACGAACAGATGATATGGAATATGCGATATATATATAACGTCAAAAATGATAATGTGGGTTAAAAGACATCAGGAGTCTATAAAATAGACCGATGTCTTTCAAATAGTTAAATAATGCCTTCGAATCCACGAAACTGAAAAGTGTTTTCATGTCCGGGACTCGAAAGTAGTTATCACGAATGTGTTTAAAATCGGAACATTCTATTAAAAAATGTCCCACTGTAACTGGAGTGTCACATGCATGGCATGAAGGTATATCTTCTCGTTTTAAAAGGTACGAATGAGTAGGATATGTGTGCCCAGTGCGGAGCCGAGCGAGGACAACTTCCTCTCTACGATCTTTCAGACTGGGAATAGATGTTTTAAGTTTCGGTTGTATCTTAAAAAGTTTTTTGGTGGTCTCAAGAGACCAACGTTGCTGCCATAAATGAATGGCTGTACGAATAGTAGGTTTAAAATTGACACTCCATTTACAGTGGAGCATTTTTTAATAGAATGTTCCGATTTTACACACAAGCCCGTATTTCAGTTCAATAAAATAAAAACGTATACTTTATGATAGAGAAGATTAAAACTGCTTTGATTGAATAACAGTAATCAGAGTGGCCTTTGATAGTACACCATCGTCGGTGAGTGGGAGCTACGTAATTAGCTAGTGTAGCTGTATTTTTTATCTGTAACAACTGTTTGTTTCTTTGTTTATGTTTAACGGCCCATCGACGGCTGTGGTCATTTAGGGCCATGGTGATTTTTTTATTGATTTTTTTTTTACTGTAACAACTGTTAAATGTATTTCAACTTGTACAACAACAAGCGGGAAGGATTGGGGCCAGATATACAGACCAAAACTCTGGCCGATGGAAGACGATCACTAGGGCCTATAAAAACACAAAACATCACAATAAGAAAAGTGGTAACAAGAAAAGCTACGAATTTGAAGATGCACTCGACAATGTGATGGGAGACTGTCCAACTGTCAATCATGTGACAATATCCTTAGGCTCAGCGAAGAAACGCAAGTTGCCTGACATAGATACGGACTGCAGTGGTGAGAGTGATGATCACAACACGCCTTCAGATGGACCCAATGAAACTACGAAAATTAATTAAAACAAGAGGCCCAATGGGCCTGCATCGCTCACCTGGTATAAATCTCACACTTGTAACCTTAAAAGTGATCTAAAATAAAGCTACATGCAAAATATCAGTATTTATGATTAAAATTCATTCAAAAGACCCTGTGTTTTTTTTTAAAACATTTCACCCCTGTGATTGAAAGTCGAACAAATTGTATAGCCGTTCATCTCAGGATGCAACTTGTAAAGTATCAACATCCTGGGACCCATGGTTATTCAGAAGAGGTCGTTTAAAGACTTTAAACAAATTTGACCCCTGTGACCTTGAATATAAGTCAGTCATTCACTTTAACAAACATAGTAGTCCTTGATCCCAGCATGCTACTGACTAAATATAAACATCCTGAGCCTTTTGGTTATTCAGAAGAAGTTGTTTTAAGGTTTTTAAGACAATTAACTCCTGTGACCTTGATTATGGGTGAAGGTCATTCATTTTAACAAACTTGGTAGCCCTTCACCCAAGCATGCTACTGGCCAAATATCATCACCCTGGGCATTTTGGTTATTCAGAAGTTGTTTAAATGTTTTTTAAGACAATTGACCCCTGTGACATTGAGTATAATTGAAGGTTATTCATTTTAACAAACTTCGTAGCCCTTCACCCAAGCATGCTACTGGCCAAATATCATCTCCTTGATAGCGTTCTAAAGTTAAAAATGTTAACCCTGTATATGGTATTTTTTCAGCATACATCCTGTAGGGCATATGCATTAGACAAAAAAAAATCGCATTTTTTTTCTTCTCGGAATCACTTTTAATCGACATAAATCGATTAAGTATTCGATAGGCTTCGTGTAACTGCTAAAGAGTTCTAGCAAATAAGTGTAAATATTAAGATCTAAGGTGATATCCTATTTCAGCATAAACTAACCCTACTCCCAAGCTTATGCAGCGAAAGGACCATAGAACAATCATCATTTATCAATGAACCTAAAAATGTTAAATATGTCGTATTTTGTCTGTTGTATACAAGAGGCCCAAGAGGGCCTGTATCGCTCACCTGAATATTTAAGCAGTCATAGCAACCTATTCTCATTCAATATTATATTGCACTAAAAATATTTCCCTCACAAACGTTGTTGGCTCCATCTGTTGAAACTACCAGCAAAATATTATTACAAGATTCTATGCTTTTTGATTCTTCAGAAGTTGCTTGACATATTTTCCCCTGTGACCTCTTGTCGGGCTCTATCCCAGGAAGCCACCAGCCAAATATAAAGATTCTATACCCTTCAGTTCTTCAGAAGAAGTCATTTGAAGCTTTTTACACATTTGACTCCTGTGACCTTGAAAGTAGGTCAAGGTAATTTTCATTCTCAAACTTTGTTGGGCTCCATCGCAGGAACCAATCAGCCAAATATGAAGATTCAATACCTTTTAGTTCTTCAGAAGAAATCGTATGAAGTTTTTGACATATTTGACCCTGTGACCTTGAAAGTATATCAAACTAATTTTCATTCTCAAACTTTGTGAGGCTCTATCCCAGGAAGCCACCAGCCAAATATAAAGATTATATACCCTTCAGTTCTTCAGAAGAAGTCATTTGAATTTTTGACATATTTGACCCTGTGACCTTGAAAGTAGATCAAACTAATTGTCATTCTCACACTTTGTTAGGCTCTATCCCAGGAAGCCACCAGCCAAATATAAAGATTATATACCCTTCAGTTCTTCAGAAGAAGTCATTTGAAGCTTTTTACACATTTGACTCCTGTGACCTTGAAAGTAGGTGAAGGTAATTTTCATTCTCAAACTTTGTTGGGCTCCATCACAGGAACCAATCAGCCAAATATAAAGATTCAATACCTTTTAGTTCTTCTGAAGAAATCGTTTGAAGTTTTTGACATATTTGACCCTGTGACCTTGAAAGTAGATCAAACTAATTTTCATTCTCAAACTTTGTTAGGCTCCATCCCAGGAAGCCACCAGCCAAATATAAAGATTCTATTTCCTTCAGTTCTTCAGAAGTCGCTAGAAGCTTTTTACACATTTGACTCCTGTGACCTTGAAAGTAGGTTAAGGTAATTTTCATTCTCAAACTTTGTTGGGCTCCATCCCAGGAACCGATCAGCCAAATATGAAGATTCAATACCTTTTAGTTCTTCAGAAGAAGTCGTTTTAAGTTTTTGACATATTTGACCCCTGTGACCTTGAAAGTAGGTCAGTCATCTTCATTCTCAAACTTTGTTAAGCTCCATCCCAGGAAGCAATCAGCCAAATATGAAGATTCATACCTTTTAGTTCTTCAGAAGAAGTCATTTGAAGTTTTTGACATATTTGACCCCTGTGACCTTTAAAGTAGGTCAAGGTCATTTTCGTTCTCAAACTTTGTAGGGCTCCTACCAACAAAGCTTTCAGCCAAATATCACGACTCTAGGCCTATCCGTTCTTAAGAAGAAGTTGTTTAAAGGAAAAGTTGACGGACGACGGACGACGCACCACGAACGCCTTCGGGCAGGTGAGCTAATAATATGAAAACACACATATATATATAAATGGTATGTTGTTTATTTAAAAATTATTTATTTTGACACTTCTGTAAACAATGTTTTTTCTTTTTCAGGAGAATGCCACGAAAGCGCACAGCCTTTACATGGCGAAAGAAACAAACTGCCAAAAAGCAGAAACTGGTGGTTGATGAGGCAGAGGAGGATACTGTAATGGAATGCAACCCTGATACTGACGAGGACAAACATGAGCAGGCAACATTGGAGGAGACGGAGGGTGAGGCCGAGGTGCATTTAGCACAATTTGCTCCTCTGAAACCAAAAACACCAAGTGTTTCCTCAAATAAAGAGAAGGTTGCAACGACGTCCGGTCTGTTTGACTTTCAACCTCTGAATGAAAGTTGCCGGGCAAAGGCTACCTACATACAAAAACTTGATCCAAGCAATGAAGGCCCACTCAGAAAGGAGGAAAAGCCAGCGCCAAGATGTGGAGTCCGACAACGAAAATTTTGATGACGACAAGGATGTTGATTACGATCCAACAAAGCAAAGCCCCGATGAGAGCAGCAGTGAGGAGGAAGGAATCGAAATGATCCCACCTTCGCCGCTTCCAGCGACACAACTAAAAGTAGCAAAACCCAAAAAGAATCGTGAAGATCCAGCTTGTCTCGGAGGCGAGCGAAACCAACACCAGAGGGAGAGAAGTGTCGAGACAACTTAGGACAGCGCAACAACACAACCCCAGGACAAAGAGAAAGAGGCAGGGGTCCGCAAATCCCCGTCCCCGCAAACTTTGCAACTTATGTGGAATTTAAGTCCTTGACATGGCAAGGCATATGCGCCACGCCCATGATAATTCTCCATTACAGACAAGAATCTCCTCAGCGCTGAACAGGGCCACTAAACCGTCGCACAAAGAGGGCGAAAAACCCTCGAGAAGGTATAAGAACTATCCCATGCCGAACTGCACTGCAATGATCCAGAGGCTGGACAAACATTTACAGAACACACATCGTATGACGTCGGAGGAGGACTCGGAGAAGGCAAAGAGCGCCACTTTCTCCAATCAACCTCGTAAAGGTCAGCAGGTCGAAGTGCTCAAAACTGCCGAGACAAAACAGCCAGTCACATTGATGGACATTTTCGAAAAATGGATGTCCAGCAGTGAGCGGTGCAAAGATTAGAGGGTTGCGCAACAGCATACACACCAGGTGAGAGCTATTTGGAAGGCAGTCGACCCTGAAATGACACTGGCTTCGTTACTCAAGCCAAAGGATATTTTGAATCTTTGGGTCGATCCCAAAAAGCAGAAACTGCAGCCAGGAACAATCAAGAGCTACCTTGGATCCCTGACGGAGTTTTTCGGATTTCTTGAGTGCGAAGGTCTTGCTGGGATAGAGAAGATTAACCAGCTTCGGAATGCCGTACAGCGCTGGACAGGTGCAATGTCAAAATTATCCAAAGAAAGGGCCATGGCACGGCAGGTAATTGATGTTGAGGAATGAATGGAACAGGATAATATGCAAGTGTTCCTGAGTTCTTCCAACTCAAACCTAGCAAAGGGTTATATTCAAAAGGCCACGGAAGGAGACATGGTAAAGTTTGACCAGCAAACGTACTGTCTGGTCAGAAATTATATTATTTTGACTGTGTTGGCTTCGAACGCCCAAAGAGCAGGCGCCATATCCAATCTGAACATGAGATCATTTACATTTGCCCAGGAACATCGGGGCATCCACACTTTGACGGTGTCCAACCATAAAACTGGATACAGAACTGCCCTTTCAGCAGAACTCCACCGTCAGCTGAAGACCTACATATCGAGGTTTCGAAATCAATTACCTGAGTACCATTCGGATCTCGATGGTGAGGATGCGCCGCTTTTTTTGACATGGCCACAGACTGGATCTCGTCCGGGCAAACTAGCTGCGTCTAGTGTCAACGCTGCCATTAATAAGATATGGAGTTTGGTTCCGGATTTGGCCAGCGCCGTAAACATATCTGCAACTTGTTTGTTTGTTTGTTTGATTTTGTTTAACGTCCTATTAACAGCTAAGGTCATTTAAGGACGGCCTCCCCTGTGTGCAAGATGCATGCGTGTAGTGTATGTGTGTGTATTTTGGGAGGCTGCGATATGTTCGTGTTTGTCTCCTTGTGATAGCGCGGAACTGATGCCGACTTTATAGTGCTACCTCACTGAGACATACTGCCGAAGACACCCAGCAGGAAGCCCCACCCGGTCACATTATACTGACAACGGGCGAACCAGTCGTCCCACTCCTAATTTGCTGAGCGTTAAGCATGAGTAGAAACTACCATTTTTAAAGACTTTGGTATGTCTCGGCCAGGGGACAGAACCCAAAGCCGTCCACACAGGGGCGAACGCTCAACAAATGGCCAAAAGTGAGGCATTGTCAAGGGAGACATTAGGAAGAAGAAAGTTATCTGCAACTAAAATTAGAAAAATGACCAACGTCAGTGAAGGAATCACATCCGGATGACCGAGAGGCTTTGGCGTCACACATGACTCACCGCTCTACGACCGCTGACGTATACTACCACCTGCATCAGCGGCAAAAAGAGGCATCGTCAATCAGCGCCATCATCAACGAAGTAGTGTTGGGTAAGCATACCACAGTGGAGGAGGAGGAAGAGAGATATGAGGAGGAAGAGAGATATGAGGCAGAAGAACAAGCTACTGGGGAGCCAGATAAAGTCCAGGATGACGAAGACAGTCAACCAATGGAAAACCAAACCAATGAACAAATTGAACAACTGGATGTCTCAGCTACAAGCTCAAGAAGACCAATTTACAAGAACGGAACAAGACACCATCAAAAAACTGTGTCAGCAGTTATACGCTCGCCCCAATGCTAGCATCAACCAGAGGGCGGTGGCCATGATGTTAGAGGAAACAGTGGAAGGCAGAAATTTAAAATATAAATTTACGCTGAAGTAACTGGCTGATCGCGTTAGAACAGCAAATAACGCATGGAAAAAAGGGCAAAATATAGACAAAAATTGAGTGACGTAGTAAATGGCAATATGGAAACATTCCTTCAAGCATTTAAACTAAGCCTTGTGAACCCGATTCATGATGATTAAAACTGTCGTCAGTGTTACGCACGCCCCAACGCGGTGGCCATGCAATTTAAAGAAACAGTTAATATGGAAATATAAAGAATGATAACATTTGCTCTCACTGAATCAAGTCATGCTGATTAGCACTTATTTGCTAGGATTTTTTAGAGAATACTTTATCGTTTGATGTCAATTAAAAGTGATTCCAAGAAAAGAAAAAAAATGGTGTTTTTTTACCTAAGGCATATGCCTTACAATTTCTATGCTGAAAAAGGACATACCCCAATTATTAGCATTTTCTTTGCTTTTATATCGTAAAAGAATTCTAAAAATGCTTCCTAGTATCAAAATCAAACTACATACCAATTCTTCAAAAAATAAGACAGATGAAAATAAATTCCCCGTTGTCATCAGTTAGGGACTGGGGTTAAGGTATGCTGAAAAAGGACAACACTTTAATATGTTATATTATAGTCTTGATATGAAAATTTGTCATCTTTCAACCATTATTTTCATTAAATCAAGGTCAAAAACTAGCAAACTGTTTTGAAAATGAAGATATAAATGGTGGTCCTTTTTCGTCATCAGCTAACCCTACTCCCAAGGGCATGCAGCGGAAGGACTATAGGTCATTTATCATTTATTTCACCATCCTATAAAGGTTATAAGCCTTAATTCGACATCTTTCAACCATTATCTTCATTAAATCAAGGACAAAAACTAGCAAATTGTTTTGTAAATGAAGTTATAAATGGTGGTCCTTATTCGTCATAAGCTAACCCTACCACCAAGCTTATGCAGCGAAAGGACCATTGTTCATTGTTCATTATTTCACCATCATATAATGACTTTTTGCCTACATTCGGCAAATTAAACGATAATCTTATTAAATCAAGGACTTATTTGATTTTAGGAGAAGACTTATATCGGCCAATGCCTGTTGTCACATCCAATTGTTCAACTGTTTGTCCAATAAAATTTGTTAAAATTAAAATCAAGGACAAAAACTAGCAAATTACTTTGTAAATGAAGAAATAAAATGGTGGTCCTTTTTCGTCATAAGCTAACCCTACTCCCAAGCGCATGCAGCGAAAGGACCATAAGTCATTTATGATTTATTTCACCATCCTATAAAGGTTATTTGCCTTATTTCGGCATCTTTAAAACATAACTTTCATTAAATCAGGGACAAAAACTAGCAAATTATGTTGTAAATGAAGATATAGTGGTCCTTTTTCGTCATAAGCTAACCCTACTCCCAAACGCATGCAGCGAAAGGACCATAGGTCATTTATCATTTATTACACCATCATATAAAGGTTATTTGCCTTAATTCGGCATATTTAAACCATTATTTTCATTAAATCAAGGACACAGACTAGGAAATTGTTTTGTAAATGAAGATATAAATGGTGGTCCTTTTTCGTCATAAGCTAACCCTACTCCAAAGCTTATGAAGCGAAAGGACCATAGGTCATTTCTCGTTATTTCACCATCATATATAGTCTATTTGCCTAAATTCGGCATATTAAACGATAATTTCATTAAATCAAGGACATATTTGATAATTTTAGGAGAAGACTTATATCGGCCAATGCCTGTTGTCACATCCAATTGTTCAACTGTTTGTCCTATAAAAGTTGTTAAAACTGAAATCAGCAAAAACAACTAGCAAATTATGTTGTAAATGAAGATATAAAATGGTGGTCCTTTTTCGTCATAAGCTAACCCTACTCCCAAGTGCATGCAGCGAAAGGACCATAGGTCATTTATCACTTATTTCCACATCCTTTAAAGGCTATTTGCCTAAATTCGGCATATTAAATGATAATTTCATTAAATCAAGGACATATTTGATTTTAGGAGAAGACTGATATCGCTTGGTTATCGAGAAGAAGATGTTTAAAGTTTTTAACATATTTGACCCCTGTGACCTTGAAAATGGGTGAAGGTCATTAATTTTAACAAACTTTGTAGTAATTGATCCCAGTTTGCTTCTGGCCAAATATCGACACCCTAGGCCTTTCGGTTATTAAGAAGTCGTTTAAAATAAAATATTGACGCCGGACGCCGGAAGCCGCGCCACGGCATAAGCTCACTTGTCACTTGGCACAACAATTGGAATTCCAAAGAGAATACAGACAAATTCAACACACGCTATTACACAATGAGGTACTCGACCCAATTTCTGAGAAGTTAGCACATGGAACACATGTTGACAAACAGTGATGACATGGAGGAACCTTTCCTTACCTCAGACGTAGTCATCAGCTGTGTCCAAAAACCCAACAAAAGTTGGAACTCTTCACAAATATATTAAGGGAATTACTTTTAAATTATGTTTGTATGATTTTATATTAAAAAGTAGGCATTTCAAATTCAAATTATTTTATATAATCGGATGAGAAACTTCTCTAATTTGATTGGTCAAGCCATATTAGGGAACAATCTTGACACGCATGCGCAATTTGAAGCGTCACTTCCAGCTTAAGCAGAAAAAAAGTTTTCATTCAGCCTCCACGAGAGAACTTTATTTGTCTTATAGTTAAGCAGTATCTTACAGTTAAGCAGTTTTCGGGATCAATTTCAAACCATCTACATTTGATTAGCCTAGTTGATCATTACAGCATGTGAAAGAGA